AATAATGTTCCCCTTAAATGCGAAGAGGAGGAGTCTAACCACCCAAACTCAAAGTGTATCAACTTTAACAATTGACCTCAACTCCGATTGTTGGATGCTATGTCAACGGTGCATTGGTAATTTTGGCACCTCACTCTCAAAGCTCTCAGTTCGTATTCATCACATTTCAACAATCCATTATCACAATCAAGTCACCTAAACCATTACTACGTGGTAAATCACAATGCCACCGTGGCAAACAAACCCCTAGGCTTCACACCAAAGGATGAGTGGCCTACACCCGATGACAATTTATTGCACCTGAAAGGTCTCCACTAGATACGAGCTTCTTCACCAGCCTTATAACTTTGATGACCGCACTTATGCGCACAACACTTCGTATTTCTTCACAGCCTAGATGCAAAATAATTATCCAGAGATTCGCTTGTGCATCATTCTTAAACAAATAAGGTGGAATGCGCGCCAACGAAACGAGCAAAAACATTGAAAGTGGAAACCACATTACCAGTGCTCTGTATTAGACAAACAAAGAAATGACGTCTTCCACATGTTTATCGCAATCTTCAAAAAACGAATTTAAAATCCGCCCAGACAAGGTAGCGTTGTTTGATCTGAGCAGTGTCGTATATAACGTACTCGTTGTACAGAAGGTCACTCTTTATGTCTTTAGAGGTCACTGGCTGACCAATGGGATAGACGACGCCAGTCTCTGGCTCTCTGAAGTACGTCTCCGAGTTCGGTGCAGTTGCACCTACACCTTTTGAATTGATGTGAAAGGAAAAGAAATAACATGCCGAAGCAACACAACACAGCGAGTTACTAGCCAGCACCCATAAAGCAACTCACTGCTTTTACTTCCAACTAAGCAGTTTCAAGTCCAATGATGAAAAGTAACACACACATGCATACAATAAATTCAACCGGATTTAACCTTCCTACAAGAAAATTCTCCTCTATCATCATTTTGCATTAACTTGAAGAACACATAAAAGGGAAACGCAATGGGTGGAAACCACAATGGCTAGCGGATCAACAACTCACGACCAAAATGTTCCAATAAAAGGGTGGAATTTTACAAGTCTTCTTTCTGGAAGGTATTACAACAAGCAAAACAGCACAGATACCGCAAAGGCTAACTTTAAAACATGCCACAGTGTTTTCACGCACGCACTCTCATTGGACAAAGTGGCAGTTTGAAGACTGGGACTACCTTTACGACTGCCAAATTGCTTGGAAAGTCTAGAGGCGTTGGCTGAGAAACATTCGTGCGTTCGACCGAGGGCCACTTCACAGAGGAGGAGACAGCCCTGTGGGGCATTGGGTGAAGCATAGCAGTAATTAGCGGATTTGCTCACCATGTCAGAGAAGTAGACACCCTTCCCAAACATGTAGCCTGTCGAAGGCGCCTCGGGAGGCGCTATTCGTAAGCCCTGTGCTCTACCAACCAAAAAACAACGCACTCAAGTAGGACACTGGAGCTACTTAAGTGGATTTTAGTAGAAAGAGAGTACCCACAGGATGCCTGCCCAGTTTGTGCGACGAGAACCGTGCCACAGCATCATGCGATTGTCCAGCGCCTTGAATCCATCCGCTTCTTCTGCTCTCGAGAGTGAAAATATGTCTATCACTTCTAGAGCGTAATTTGTGTGTGTTGGGGCGTGAGTGACTCGCAGAAACTCTGCAATCCGTTTGAATTCCTCCGAGTCCCAATTGAGAGGCTGAAGGAATGCGCAGAAAACAGTCCTTAACCAGAGCAGCAATTCATACATTTATTAGACTTAATATGCACACCTCGATTTGATTCTTTAACTTTTCGTATTGCTCATCAAGAGGGTTGATATCGTGGTCACCAGTCTTCATAAGGGAATAAGCAACCTCCAACTTCAACAAATCATCCAGCATTCGTGATTTTATTTTCACTGCCTCCAAGCTGTCCAACAGAGGTGGTATTTTCAGACCAAAGTCATGCGGAATGAGCGTATAAAAACGCGTTGTGGCTCCAATTAATCGACTCTTGTCTGGACCTTCGATCACCTTTTTCGACGCCAGTAGGCTAGAAATATCGCTTAGCACACTATAGGCCTCCTGAATCTGCACCCGTGATATCTTTCCCAGCGGCATCTTCCTAGCATCTATCTAAAAAAAAACATGCCGCAGACCGATACATTCACACAGTCACTTGTGCGAGATCACAATATTAAGAATCAAAACCGACCTCAAACTCCAAAAGAGCATTCGTCATTGAAGCGATGTCGAAGAGGAAATGAAGTAGTCCTTGAAGGCGGCTTTCCAGCTTGGATGCCACTTGATGCATAATTTTCGCATTTTCAACAGTCTCATCACCCTGCGAGATAAAAATGATCGTCAAAATGTCGCAAACATATGAGAATAATTCAGTTAGGTGACGAAGAACAAAGACCACAGCATTACAACGAGAGCGTTACCATGTTTACAAACAAGCTCAGACCTAGAAGTACAAAAAGCAAAGTACACGTTGCATTGTCCCAGTAAAACAATCACGGTAAAAATACTACCCCTCAAACAGCCAGGTAGCCCCACCACATTTGATTGTACTGCAAGACAGCAGTCGCAAAGCTACCAAGGCGACAGCAGTTCTGTCACCTATGTAATATCGTCTACATTTAAACCAATTTAATCATACACAGGACATTAAGATAGCAATGTAGAGATGGCATTATGTGGCCTACCTTGGGATCAAATTGTTCTAATTCAAGAGGATAAAACTTTCGGGGTATTTTCACGAAATTGGCACGCTCCACACCCCATGGATTGCCAGTCTTCTCGAGAAAGAGGTCGTGAAAGTGTTGCACGGCAGAGTTGACACTGGTAAAGCGCTCCACCTTCGAACCGCCAATATCAGTGCCTACACGACCCCAGGCACGGAAAACCCAGTACTGTCGCGGCTCCTTGTCTGAGCGCAGCACCTGTAGCCTAATGGTCATGAAAGGCAAATATTAGTGGCTGCACCAAAAAACACAGAAAGGGTTGAAGGGCAAACACGATTTGACTAACTACTACAGTTGCATAAACTGTCATTATGCGTATGGAAGATTGCACACGCATTGAGATTCACCCGTCTCTATGTCAGGGCCCTTCTGATTCGCAGTTTGAGAATGCCTGATAATAATGAAGATCTGCCTACTTACTTATAATCACTTTCCTTCGCTATAAAGTTAAATGGGCTAACTAACAAAATACCAAACCCATAGTTTCCACTAACCAAAGTACCAAAACTGCCACCGAATTTCGGAAATGAAAAGAAGAGTACGGAGTAATAATGGACAACTGACTTATAATACGAATTGGAGCCGCGTAGGAGGTCAACCATGCCAAGGACAGCGGAGAGCGGACGACCATGGCGGTCACGAGTGACGCTAGCACAGTCCTCGAGACCCGAAGCGGGATCCACTACGGCACCGCCCTTCACGCGCATCCGCTGCAACGCATTTCTATCGCTTTTCACCGCCACTTTTACATCCGCTCTCCCCTTTTGCCCTGACGACTGGGTCTGTTCAGCTGTTAAAGTGAAGCGATTAATCGATTCGTAGATTACCACGAGTGGTCACAACACCAATGGATAAACATGCATCTTTCAAAGCTCAATGATCAACCCTACCGTCGAACCGAAAATCGGCGAGCATTTGATAAAAAGTCATGAAGGGCCCAGTTCAATTATTTAACCATTCTATTCTTGCTTAAAACAGGACCAAATTAAGGAGTCCATACCGCTGCACTCCCCAATGCCCGCAGCGTGGAGTGTAGTAAGAACCTTCAGTGCTAGGCCAGTCTCTGAGACTGCATGTATGTTGTGTTACCCTTAACACGAATGGTACCTCAAGCATTTTTCAAAGGCCAATTCCACCTTACTGATTAACAATCATTCTTGACAATCTCAAGTATAACTCGCCAATAACAAGCAGGCTGGCTACATCGCTACTTAAAGTTCAGATTATATCCTTACCCAACATACTTCAGTAGCGTCATCTGTGAAACTTTATTACTATGATGGATGAAAATCGGATACGGACTACGACTTGCAAGCAGCGATAGACAACGAAACATACGAAAGCGGTTGAACTCACACGTCGAGGGCTAAAAAATAAAGAGCTGTATGATG